TTGCTGACAACAGAGTGAGAAATAGTTCAGTCTGACATCTAGAGCTTTCTGGAGAAAAGCAAGAAACTGAACACAAGGGAGATCCCACCACAACCAACTCTAAGGGATTAAATAAATTCCTTTGGCTTGCTGGAATCTTATATTAAATATTCTTGGAAATAAGTAGGCCATAGGCCAATGCTAAGAAATCTTTCATAATAAAGATATTCAGTCTGTAATGTAACTGTTGTTATAGGATTTGACCTGAATAGAAAAAGAAACTAAACACAGCTTTCTCAACAGAGCTCTCTGAGGATAGATGGTGCTAAATCCCCAGGAGGAAATAGCAGCTCTCTAATAAAATTTTAAAGACCCCCCCACTCCTCCTATAAGAAGTTCTTGCTGTGAAAACCAGAGAGACAGAACACTCCTGGGATATAAAAAATAAATGGACTTCAGAGTCAAAGGGATTGGAATCCACACCCAGGCTGTCTCCCAACTTTACTGTATGACCTTAGGAGAACTCAGCTGTGACTTCCAAAACTCAGTTTTCTCATCTACAAAATAGGAACAGGGGAGCCTTCCCTTAGGATCACTGTGAGAAGTAAGTGAGCTTGTATTTGCAAAAACACTGGGCATAAGTTCTCACCCTTTGTCTGTTCTCTTTGGAGACTAGTTTTCTTAATGCAATTTTCTAAGTATCATGGGTATTTTTTTAAGGGCTTCTGTGAAAAACATTTCCCCTCTGGCCCATAAGTGGGGTGGAAAGACTCCTGGAAGGAGAATTAGAGGACCTAGGTCCAGTCCCACTGTTACACCCCAGCAAGAGATCCTCACCAGGCCTGTCTCCTGGGCTGTACCATAAGGCTGTCTGCCACACCTCTGGCCCAGGATGGTTATAAGGATTCAATGAGATAATGTAGGAGAAAGCACCCTGAAGAGCATGAAGTGCTCTCAGGTGAAGGGAAGCTTCTTCCCTTCTGCTGGAGAGCAGCTCATAGATAGATGGGTATCTACATCACTCTACTTATGAGGACCCCAGATGGTGGAGATCCAGCTGTATGTGAGCCATGCCAGGGAAAACAAACCCCATAAAGGAAGAGTGGAGCCAGCTGCAGCAGAGAGGCTCAGGGGATTTAGCAAACAGTCCAAGTTCAGTGGTCTTGCTGGATGTGCCTCTAATCAGACAGAGATAAAGAACATTGTAAGCGTATTACTAACAATTGCTTAGATCCTGTCTGAAACTAACAGTGCCTCCAGAGGGGTCCGCATGGGTCTAGAAGTCAGCAAGGGAACCAAATCCATATTCAAGTCAGAAAGACACCACAGTCGAAGACGTGAGCATACCAGTGCCTAGAGAGAGGGAATGCACTGCAGAGGGAAACCCAGGATCTCCAGAATTTTTTTTTTTTTTTTTTGTCTTTTTGAGACAGGGTCTTGCTATGCAGTTCAGGCTGGCCTTGAACTCGCAACAATCCTCTTGCTATGCAGTTCAGGCTGGCCTTGAACTCACAACAATCCTCAGCCTCCTGTGTGCTGGGATTACAGGTGTGCGCCACCACCTCCCCCATCCACAGCGATCTCCATAATTTAAATAAAAAAGGTCAGGATAGCCATTGTGGTTACCTTAGCCTTCCCATTCTGTTCTAGTCTCACCACTACTAACAATAATAATAATAGTGGACATCATTATTAGCCTCTGTCATTTCTGAGCTCTGTTTGCCAGGCACTGGGCTAAGTGCTATAGGGGGCATCTATCAGTAAAACATTACCATGTCCCGTGCCTACACCAAACACTATTATTATGCACACTTTACAGAGTAGCAAACAGCTATTGCAATTATCAATTGAGAAAGCCGTAATCACAGCAGACCCTCAATCCATATACACATACGAGGGCCAAGAATCTTCCCATCTCTCAACAAGGATTTCCCTGGCTATATATTAATCAAAATCTCATTTTTAACATCCATTTTTAAAAGATAGAGAAAGCTGCAGCAAACAAGAAGAGAAAGTCACTCAGAAACTTTGAAGTGGTGATGGCTCAAGAGTTTTGATCACCAGTCTTCTTTGTAGTAAACAACTTGGCCTTAACTTGGCTCATTTTCTGGCATGGGGAAGAACTGTACGGTCTAATGTTAGGGTTCAAGTAAGGGTGAGGGACAACTGAACCAATTGGAAGGACTTAAGATAACTTGACATTGGTAGAGGGGCAATGACATCACTTCCTGCTTCTTATTCTGTACAGAGGGGAGACAAAACGACTTCTCAGCCATCACCCTAAAAAAAAAAAAAAAAGAAAAAGGCGCCAAGCCAGGACTTGGCAATTAGTGTTGGAGTAAGTGATCATCTTGTGATTGCTCAGCTGGGGCCTGAAGACTTGTAAATGCATTTAGAAGACAGAAATAGAAGATGTTGTGAGAGAGCAGTGAAACCTGGCCCATTTGCCAGGAGAAAATGTCCCAAAGCTGCCGGGAAATTCACTCAGTCGGGATTTGGGGAGTATCTCCGTAAATGGGGAAGGTTAATAAATAAAACCCATGGATGAAGCCAGAGCATATGCCTTACCCTACCGACTCGCCTCTCTGTGATCTTCAGCTTCTCTGGAGTCCCACGGTGTCTACCAGAGAGCTTTGGTGGGGTGTTGACTCTCAGGCACAGCCAGAACCAAATTAAGGATGGACTCTGATAATGTGCACTGCCCAGTGTCCCCCTGGAGCCAACAGCAAGCACTCAGGAGGAGCAGCCCACATGTCCAGGGAAAACAGTGCCCAAAGTTCACAGAATCATCAGGCCGTACCCCAACCAGACCCCTGCCCCAGTGCCTCGCAGATCTTGCAAGTCCTACCAGCCTTTGTCACAGGCTCTTCCAGGGATATCAAGGGCAAGCCAAACACATGTCCTAGAAAGCCACTTCTGAGACACCTGTAGCCAGCACCCCTGCTCTGCTTCACTGACCCATAGGACCATGGCAGGCCCTGAAGCTTTCTCCATCTCCCTGAGAGCTGCAGGTGGCCTGATGCTCTAAATGGCCCTGAGACATGAGAATCCGGTCCTGTCCTCAAAAGGGACAGGACTTCTATACTAATGGTTCCCCTCCCCCAAACTGACCCTACACCACAAATTAGCACTCTGCCCGTGGAGCAGTTTTGTTTGGTCCATGGAGTTGAGGGTTTTGTTTTCAGTCACCAGTATTTAAAGTTTGAGTGGTTTCACATGCTCTCCAGCTCATTTTAGAAAAAAGCAGCAAGTCTAGCGAAACTGTCCCCACAGCCACATGGCAGCAGTCAGCTGGAGCCGTCCACTAGCTGCGCCATCAGAGGGGACATGTGGTCCCCATCCTCCACTGTCCCCACCTGGTCTGTCTAGGGCATGTGGCTTGTGACCTTTGTGTGAGTTACCATGAAAAGGGAGCCTTCTCAGATGTCCAAAGCTCTCTCCCTTGAGACACTTTACAATGAAACTCAGATCTCAAATAAAATAAACACCTGGAACATCTGGTCCAAGGCCCTCCTAGGGGCCCATCTCTGCCTATGGCTGCGCAGAACACACATCAGGAAAACCTCACCACAGAGACTACACCAGGGCAAGGGGCAAAAGCTAAATCAGAGAGTTGAAAGGAAGGTCTCAGTTCCCCGCAGCTAATACATCTGGTCCTGAGCGGTAGTCATGGAGCTCACTGTTTCCAGAGAAAAGACAGATAGTTCAGCACAAAGCAGAGGTGGCCATAATTAATGAGTATTTACTAAGCACTCACTATGTGCAGAAGCCCAAGGTTAAGGCCAGGACCCTAAGTACAGAAATTATTACCCCAGTACTCAACCACAATTTTCTAGCATCTCCCCTTTCTCCACTTGCAGTGTCCTCTATTATCTGATAGCTTCCCCCTGGAAGTTCTACTACTTTCTTTTTTCTGCACTGGGGATTGACCTCAGGACCTTTGCACTGAGCTACATCCCCAGCCCTTTTTTCCTTTTTTGTTTTGACACAATGTATCATCTCACTAAGTCCCTAAGTTGTGTAAGCTGTGTTTAAAACTTTGATTCTCCTGCCTCAGCTTTCCAGAGGACTGGGATTATAGAAGCACACCCCCACTCCTGACCTGTGCTTCTTAAGGAATTTCTAGCCAGCCAAGCTGCCCTTCCACTATCAGATGCAAGCAATCAGTAGTGGCCAAAGGACAGACTAATTGACATGCCATTCTTCCATTTTTCTCCCCAAATGCGATGGACCCTACCCAATTCCTACAGAATCTCTGATCTTTGGGGACATACCCATTGGGTATTCAAGATGGCCACTGTCCCTGAGCTTCTAGAGAACTGGCCCAGACAACAAGCACCACCCAGGGGTGTGGGAGGTTGGAATTTCTTGCCATCACTCCAACAAGGTCTCATTTCCTGCCCACCAGACCTCCCCAGAAAATGACATCTTCCCACTGACTGCCAGCATCTGTCAGCCCAGAGCCGGACTTGAGGAGGAAGTATCAAGTCTGATGATTCTTTCCCACTGAATCCAATTGGCACCAATCCCTAAGGAAGCCATTCCACCCATCAGACATAGCAGTGGAGGAGAGACAGGCCAAGGGAGGCACAGACAGACAGGAAGCCCACCCACTGCTGTGTTCTCCAGCTTGTCCCAAGCAGAGCTGTGTGACCTTAAACAGCTGCCTACACACACACACACACACACACACACACAAACCTGCACCTGGTCTCAGAGCTGTACAATTCAAATTATACCTGAAGAGAATTCCCTGTCATTTCCATTCCCACAGAACTGCAACTTTCATCAGGAGATTCCCCCTTTTAGCCCTGGTCCTAGACTTTTCCTTCTGATGGGAACCTCAGAGGTCACCAGATCCACAATCCTCATTTTAAGAGGCAAAGCTGGAGGCCCAAGAAAGTCACTGCACCCACCCATGGGCAGCAGTGGTGGAGTCAGCTCTCAACCTCAGTCTCCAGTGTCCTGGGGCCAAGGATGTCTCGGTGTGCACCCCACTGTCCCGCAGCTGCTGTACTCACATGTAGCGCAGATGGGGGTTCTTGGCAAAGGCTCTGGGCTGGATGCTCCGGAGTCCCGAGTTCTTAATGGTCCTGGGTAGAGAGGAAAAGAAAGTCAGTGGCACTCTGGTTGCTGAGGCCCCGGCCTGGTCTCTACCTCATTATCTCTATTCACCCCTGGGTGGCCCAGCAGGGGCTCAGTAAGCAGCACTTAGTCTCACAGTCCTCAGTGCCAGGTGAGGGGTTGGATTGCAGCCAGTGGTACAGAGTTGCCCCTCTGCCTATTGGGTCAGCGGGTCTGGGCCAGCAACCACAGGCCACAGCCCCTTTGCTGCCTTCTCCCCCACCCACACCAATTTCCCATCACCACGAATACTGAAGTCCACCCAAGGACATGGCTGGAAATCTAGTGTTAGCTGAGGACCTTCCCTCAAGTCCAGAGCTAAAGAAGGAACAGCAGGCCTGGGTATGATGCCAGCCTTGAAACCCTGACACCAGGGTGCAACCATGCAACACCAGGCCCGTCCAGGCTGGGGTGGGACATAAAAACAGGTCCTGATATCCCCTAAATGGGCAGCACACCCCTCATGAAAGAGGACCCACGAGAGATAAAGGACAAACAGCAGGCTTGCTGTGACTGTCATCCCATGGGAAAGCAGACTGGGGACATCCCACCGCTTCCCCAGAGGGTGGCGCACTCACAGCTTCTGGAGTCCAGTGTAGAGCTCCATGTCCACCGCATTCAGCGTGTGCAGGCTGCGCCAGTTCTCTATGTGTCTGTGGGAGGAGAGGACACAGGGTCAGAGGCAGAGTGAAAGGCCAGGGTCAAGTCAGCAGGCAGCCACACTGAGGGCACAGGCTTTATAGCCAAAGGGCCCCAGCTTTAAGGACCAATTTGAGGGGGAATCGGGTGTTGTTCAAACGCCAGTCAAACCTCCTACCAAGTCACCAAGTGTCTCTGAGCCTCAGTTCGTTCCTCACTGTGGTGAGACCCATGGTGAGAATGAGGTGGATTCACAGATCCCAAGTACCTCACCCTCAGATCCGGAAACCCTGGAAACTGGATCTTCCTCCTTATCTTCATGACTCAGTTTCCCCCTGTTTCCTTTCTTTTGAGAAAGCTCTTTTTTTCCTCAGATCCTGCCCACAAAGACAATACAGAAGACAAGGCTTTTAATTGGTAGGTGTGGCTTGCTCCTAGGCATGTCTTCTGGGTATAAAAGCCCAGGAGGATACACACCAGACTTGGGCAGCCGCCTCCGGGTGACCACAACCAGTCTACCTGCAGCCCATTCAGAAAACCAAGGGCTTGATTTAGAGAACTGACTTCAGAGAGGAGGAGGCTCCCCAAGGACCAGGAGGCACCGTGAAGTTGGGGAGCGAGAGTACTGCTCACTGGGTAGTGCAGGAGCTGTAGTAGCTTTGTCTCCAAGGCTGGGTATGTGTGGCTTTGAGCGAGCGCTCTGCACTCCCTGGGCTCTGCTTTCCTCATTTGTAAAGGACATGATTGCCCTAGATCAGCAGTTTCTCTCCCTTTTCATCACGAAGATGTCTTTTTAGACTTTTTCCTAAGAGACTTCATGTTTAAGGAGGTTGGTGTCTAGCAAGCATACTATATTTATTAAATAATAATTAATTCATCTTCTCAGATTTATTCACCAATGATAGAAATCACTGCCAACCAGAGCTTTTCATCAACAGACACAAACCAGTGCTACCTTGCCCAGTGCATAAATTCCAGCCCAAATGAAAGAAACCCAAGACCTGTGTTAGCGCAAGGAGGCTTGTCTGGATATGGGTCTGTTCTGTTAGTTCCTTAATATTGAGAAAATGCCAGGAACAAACATCCCTCATTACATCCCTCATTATAGCTTTATTGATTACCAAGGCCCTTTCCTGCTGAAAAGCTGTGCAAAAGCTGACCATTCACATATCCCTGCTGTCCCACAGGCACCGAAGGACCTCAACAAAAGGCTTCCACAGCCCACCCCTACCCTCCTGGGCTCTGATCCTCATCCACGCCCACGAGATCTTAAGTCCCACCTCAGCTATGGGTGCAGAAATGTGACAGCTCACCCTGGGACAAGGCACACTGTGGCCAGAATAGTGACAGCTACCTTCCCCAGACGTCTCCTCCCAACCACACCCATGGCTCTGCCATCTGCCACCAAGTCCAGCTAGAGCCAAGAAGGCAGCAGGGCTGTGGCTGCCAGGGCCTCTGGAAGCACTTCGGCCCCGCACAGAGATGAGATATGCCGAGAGCCCGTTTTGCTCCACATTCTCCTGGGGCCCCTGCTGAGCAGCCAGAGACACTGGCATCTGTTGGGGACATGGACCAGGTGGTCAGGTCGGTGCTGCATTCCAACTCCAAAGCCTTCTCCCTGAAAGTCTCAGGGCACCAAGGCAGTCTGCCTGGTCTGAGCCCACCAAGGCAGGGAGCCTGGCAACACTTCAGATGAAAAGGACAGTCAGGAGGGGTAGGACCACCTGTACCACTAAGTGCCCCCAGCATTTCCTCCAGGCCATGGGCTGTGCCAATTACCGAGCAGATTGCAGTGTTTGTACAGCATGCTGCTTGCCCCCAGAGCCCGGCTGCCTATAAGGAGCTGCTTCCAACATGGGACTGTCGATCATGTTGTTTAAATAAGTGAAATCATTTTTCTCAGCCCACATTAGCATTCCATTAATGCATCTTTACGATAGCCTGGCTGTCAATCATCACTGCACTCTACAACTTTGCTCTCTTCAGTCCTCATGTCCGTAGGCCCACAAACTGACCCTTCCTGACCTGCACACACACTGAGCGAGGGCAGGGGTATGAGTGGATGAACCAACCGGATGCAGATAAAACAACCACTCCTACTTCCTGTTTTGCCTGAAATTTTCTAAATAAGGGGATAGCATTTTTACAGCCTCAGTGCAACAGTTTGGCTTGAAGTTGGGGCTTAGCCAGCTATGGTGGTGAACGCCGGTCATTTCAGCACTCTGGGATGCTGGGAAGGAGGACTGCAAATTCAAGTCCAGCCTGGGTGACTTAATGAGTTAAGTTATTAACTCATTACAAAAAATAACAGTAGGGTTGAGGATGTAGCTCAGTGTAAAGACCCCGGGTTAAATCCTCAGTACCACTGAAAAAAGACAGAGAGAAAAGAAAGAAAGAAAGAGAGAGAGAGAGAGAGAGAAAGAGAGAGAGAGAGAGAGAAAGAGAGAGAGAGAGAGAGAGAGAGAGA